GCTTTAGATTAGCTGCACACTGATAGAGTATTATCTCAAAAATACACAAATATGTCGAGTGTGTGTGCTCTCCTCACCTTACACCAATCAAACACTGTCCGTATTAAGCTACTTGTTGTCTTTCGCCCGCGCTGCCCTCACTTTTACCTCTGCCCCCCCCCCATCAGCATCAATCTGCATAGACACATCTATCGACTCATTATGCAGCATGAGCCTTCGGACTGGCATTGGTCCTTCATGTTGTGCTTTGTAGCTGTATTACTGTATCATCCATAACTCCTAGTTGTGAGAATCACACTATTAAGATGTTCCATTAATCAATATTGCACTTGTGACAACCATTAATTATTCCACAGTCCGTTTTTTTACATTCTTCTTAAATTGTCACCTTTTGTTGCTGGTTATTTATCTCTCTCTCACTTCTCACTCCTCTCTGTCGACTGCTGTCATCTGCATGCTTGCAAATGGCACACTGAGCTGTCAGCCTTCACACAGGGAGGAGGCAGAATGGCACACACACACACACACACACACACACACACACACACACGTACACACATTCTCGTCATTCAGGGATCTGAAAAAGAGGAATAGTGGAAATGTCTCTTGGTGATGTGGATAAACGAGCCAATCAGTCATCTGGAAGTATAAGACTTTTATTTCCTAACTGCCGCTCACTAAAGTCTGTGGGAATATTAATCGCCGAAACATACCCCCTGCCTCTCTCTTTGCCTGACAGAGGGAAAATAGGAAAGAGAAGACGACTTGAGTAATGTCTAAATATTTGAAGAGGTTGATGTGATGTGGGGCTTTGAGCCTCACTGTCAGCGAGTGGGAGAAGAAATCAGCAGAGACTAGGTTGAAGATCTGAGGCGGAGAAAACATGCCTATTTACTTTTTTCCTCTGATTTTCTTTCTCTCTGCGTCTCTTGGTCTCTGTTTCCGTGACTCCTTTACTGTCTTTTTCTGTCTCTCAGTGCTCCCACCGTGCATTTCACTGCGTTTGATGTACTTTGTCTTCCTTCTACACCAAATTATATTATATATGAATGTAAATCCCAAGTAGAAATCACACCACGCTTGCATGTGTGTCGTTTATAGTTCTTGTTTTAAGCTATTAGTAAGGGCTTTTTTGTGGTCAGCATTGGCCTTACATTGCAGATATTCACAGCAGTCGGTGTGATCGAATGAAGGTGTGCATATTTAATTTGTTTTGTCTCAGCAACACCTACCCTGACTCTCCTGTCCCTGTAGATAATAAACCACCGTCCACCTTCATGAGCCAAACTGGACCCACTCCCAATGCCAATACAATGTACAATCTGCCATGTGGGCAAACATTTTGAGCAGGTAGCTTCCAGGTCAGATGACGGAGTGAGTAAATTAGCAGTCAGCAGAGCAAATCACAGCAGCAGGGTCTGATTTTTGGTCTCATAAGACCAGAGATTACCGTGGTTACATCGTTCTACCGAATGCTAATCTACTGCTCTCTGCTCAGAAGCAAACCGTCTGTGCTACAGGGAACATGTTGGCTGCAAAATGTTGACTCTGAAGCAGCCAGTGTCCTGTAAAGCTGTGATAAATTCCCAATGTTAACCTAGTCATAAACATCCATTAGAGTTTACTCGTGTTAGCTTGTATAAAAGGGGTTTCAATCATGTCAAAGCAAAGGAAATATTTGAAGGACACCAAGGATTGATTCGACCCAAGCGCTATAGACAGACACTGTACTCATATTCACAAGCACAATCTGAACAGGACGTAATCCCAGGATCATCTTTCAATAACAAATGGGGCTAACCAGAAAGCCACTGAGCCACCCAGAGGAGGCTGAAAGGTTATAGTGGCTAATTGGATTTCATGTCATTAGCGTGTTTTGAGGTCATCAGATCCAGTCCCCAGACAGCCATGAGAAACTTGAGCTGACCAAGTAATGGATAAATTACCCACAGTTACAATAATCGTTGTCAGAGCTACTCGCATAACTGCTCAGAAGAAATGAATAGATCCAGTAGGAGAAGTAGCAATTGTACAATTCCTCAATTACTGAGCTGAAGTCCAAAGTGGAACTCAAGCACTAAACGTCTGTATTGAATGATTAAACTAAATCATTTTCATGTGCAGGTTGAACATAAGAGCTCATACCTTTCATGCTGGATTTTGATTAACATGAAGAACAAATATGTACGTTCTTGTTACTTTAAGAGAACCCACCGTGCATTTTCTAAAAGTAGTACGACTGGAGCAAAACCCTGAGGTGATGACTCACTACTTCAGTCTATGTTAAATGACATGGATATGTATGGTGTATGTTAAATCTTGTTTGTAAATACTCAAATTCAGATTAGAATGACAGGAATGCATCTTAGTGTCATTTTTTAATATTTCTGAGTGACTGACATGGATTTATGATCCAAAAATGTCTGTGATGAACCTCATTTTATATGTAAAGAAATGCAAATAATTATTAAGTGAGTATTAGTTGATTTGGTGAACATCCAGGCGCCTCTTTTGAAGTCATCGAGCATTGTCAATCACATTTTTACTTAGGGCATAGAATTTCTTAAATACACGTCGTAAAGAAAAATTACCATATTTCTTACCACCACAATACTTAACACCCGGCTTAACCTGTATAATTCAAAAAATGATTTAAGTAGAAAAAAAAATTAAAACAAGTAGCCATGCAAAACCTTTGGTTTCATAAAAACACTTTTAAGTTTGTGACATTTTGATTTGAATAACTTATTATGTGATCAAACTACAACTAAAGCTTTTGTTACTTGACGGTTTTCAGATGCTTTGATTGAAGTTACTCTGCCCATAAATCAATGTAACAGTGGTAATAGAACATTTCTTTACATCATAGGACTCTGTTTCCACCAGACGGACTGTATGGGACTGAATAATCACATTTCAGACAGACCAGTGGAGGAATGATTGATAGAGACTTGCCTCCATATATTTCCCAGATAACCTTTCTCTCTCTATTCTTCATCGCTCTCTTTCTATCTGCAGCCAACATGCACATGTGAATGTTTGAATGATCACACACTTATCTGTGTCTGATCTTGAGCCTTTCAGCTTCACAGTATGTTAGCTGAATGAGACATGAAGAAGACATGACACTTCTGAGAGTCAAGTATATCTTGGCATGCTATTGCATGTCGGATAAACTGTAGGTTATTTACACATCGCTCATCATCATTACTTTCAGTTACAGTGTTCATCACTTTTACACTAACTGTATCTTCTGAGCAAGATAATATTAAGAGATGGGAGAAAGAATATATAAATATATGTTCAAATATTTAAAGTGGACCTATCATGCTATATTTTAATAATATAGTGTAGGACCATACCTATATAAGGCATATTTATACTTTTTTTTTTTCAAAATACCAAACAGATCATGCATTTTAGCCATGCCTCATTTTGCTCAATTTGCACTTTTTTTAGATCTGTTTTTGCAAGGGCAGATTCAGTGAGAACAGCACCATCTACTGGCCTGGCATATGTACTACATCGTCTCCAGCGCTTTAGAACGGCAATGGCCGTGGCTGTCTCCTCCTGATTGGTGGAGTTGGCCCAATAGCCGTAGCGCCACTGTCCTGACGTCAGGACAGTGTTCAAATCTGGATCAGTTTTTATCAGATCCGTTGCAGCCCCTTTTTTAGAGATTTGGGAAAATAGAGAGGGTTGTGTTTTCTGACACTTGGTGAGTTCCCTGGAACACCGGGGACACATATTCATGTATAAAAGACGTACAAAAGTGCATTTTGCATGATAGGTCCCCTTTAAGTTGCATGCCGAGTCCGACTGAGTTTGTTTTGCAAAACATAACATAAAACCAACAAGACCTTGAACCGAGGAAGCAGATTTGCTGGGAGCCGATGCATTGCATGTTGGGAAAGAGTGTCATTGCACTTCTCAGCATTGTACCTCAGACAGCCCTGAACAACATGGTGAATGGAGCAGAGCGTATAGGTTTTAAAAGCACTTACCTTCTCAATGCAGTATGAAGGTTTCGAGGTCCTTGTTTTATATCACATTGTAGAAGGGCTTTCATAATGGACTCCTCTCCTCTCTGCATCTCTCTGCATACTAAGCAGGGCCCCATACGGCCCAATTTGCACCTCACAATTTACTGGTGTCGCTTCACATTTGGTGGAGGAAAAGCTGAGGCCTTTTCCCTGATCCGCACACTGCAGGGAGGGGAAGGGGGGCACAAGAGGAGGAGGGGGAGAGCGGAGGTTGCTTAGCTGACGGATAAAGCCTGAACCACCTCCAATCCACCATTAATTTCCACATTTGCAGGTACACAGACGTATGCACACATACACAATCCAGCGCTGAACCGAAAGCCACACACACACATCCCATTTAAAATGTACAGCTCATAACACACAGCTAACCCCCCTGACAGATTAGGGGCGATAGTTGAGAGAGATGAAGGGAGGAGGAGAGGATGGGTGGAGGGAGAGTGTGTGTGCTGACAGGACTGTGACAGGGCTTAATTACCAAGCGAGAGCTGTGCACTGGAAGCAATTTCTAAGGATTGTTGTCATTTGAATAGATTAAAACGCCCTTTCACTGGTCTAAGCTGTCTCACTGCCGGCTTGCCTCTGCTGCGGATTAAAAGTCCAAGTCAAATCAAAGAGATGAAGAGAGAGATGGAGACTGGGAGGAGTGTCACAGAGGGCACTAAAAGCAAGATGGTGCTGAAGAGAGAAGCAGAAAGAGGGGGAAAGGCAATATATAGATTTTGCATGCTGCAGGACATTAGGAATCTGCTGTGGTGATACAAAAACAAATACAAAAGAATAATGGTTGTTGCCCTCTTAGTCCTAAATCCTCCATCCCTGTGCAAAGCAGTTGTTCTGTGGGTGTTTAACGATTTGAAAAAACCCACATTTCTCTTACGATGGATTTACCGTTGTCTAATCGCTGTCTTTTTCATTTACCTCCCCCTTCTTTTTGCAAATTGCCCTTTCCACCAGACACTGAGGGCTGCGAGCACACATGGAGGAAGTTCCACGGTCACTGCTACAGGTACTTCAGCCGGAGACACACCTGGGAGGACGCTGAGAAGGACTGCAGGGAGCACAGCGGACACCTGGCTAGTGTCCACAGCCTGGCCGAGCAGAACTTCATCCGAGGTGGGTGGAGGTCAAGGATAAAGCAATAACGAAAACTAAATTGGCTCAGAAAGTGTACATGTTTTCTTCTGAATACATTACACTGCAGGACGTCAGACCAATTTATGTTTTGCAAAGTCATAGAAGTGTTCCGAGTTACCTAGGAATTTCTAGTTAGAGTGTTTCCCAGACTTGATTTTCACAAAGATCTTCTCAAAACAATGAAATCACCTAATTGAATCTTTAGTGATCAATGCAAAGAGTCTCAAGCTATGTTATAGGAGCTTTGAACGGCTGCAATATCTGTGAGCAAACGCTACAATGCTAATGCTAGCATGACAACATGCTCACAAGGACAATGGTAGCACATTCATGTTTAGCAGGTATAATGTTAATTATGATTAACAGCTTAATTTTAACATGTTAGCATGCTTCAAATTGTCAATTGTAACATGTGAAAACTAGCACTAAACTCAAACAACGTTATTTTTTTTTCAGCTATTTGGTCTAAAAACCTTATTATTACACAAATACAAATTGTTTGAGTTGATGATGGATGAAAAGTCACCATATAGCCAAGGCAATTACAGCTTGTCCTGTTGGGTAATGACTATGTCACAGTACATTTCTGTAACTGATATACTCATAGACAATCCTGAAATGGTCTGACTGTGTTGCTTCACATCTCTATAACATATCTGGCTTCTCTTACAGCCACCAATCAATTTAAATAATAGCACTTACACATCCTTTCAAATCGAACCAGCTCTCCTTCAGCTGTCTGCCTGCAACACATCAGTGATATCTACTTTTCGTCATTATTATTATCATAACTTGGCAATGGCAGCTCTTGCCTTATGTGTATTCCATAACCCAGTGATAAATGTCAGTGTTGTTCTGCTCTAAACGACCTTTGAGGAGGTTTATTGCGCAGACAAACTGTGAAGAACACCCTCAGGAGCCCAGTTTGCTCAACCAAATAAATGTGTATCACCATTTGTTGCAATAAAAAGGTGCTATAGGCTCTGATACATTGTCTGTGACAGAACATTTAATATACTATCATATTCCTTCTTAGGGTGCGATTTGTCTTGAAACCGGTGAAGAATCCACACAGTGCAGGCAACCTCATTTGAAACTGAGCTAAATAAGACCAGTAATTGGACAAAAAAAGAGCTTGATTTAATTTAGTTTAAGGTGGATTTGTGTGGGAAAGATGTGAAATTGTCACATGCCAGAAGAAGATTTTTTCTACGCTTGTATTAAAAAGAAAAAAGGATTTTATGACTCATTGATTAAATGGTTGTCATGTGTAGCGAAATCAACAGACCTGCTATTTCAAGCATGTTATCCTGAATTATTTCCAAATGCAATATACGATTTTTTTGCCTATTTTCAATGCTGTTCTTAATCCTTTAATTTATTATTCTTAGCTTTTGGCCCCTGGCAGTGCTCTTCATCCACATGTTGTAAAATGGCCAGATCACAAGCACCAGTCCCCTGTAATATTGAATCCACCTTCTGTTTTGAACAGATGCCAGGACAGTGTCATCTATCTAGCACCCATCTTTCTTCCACACACGCACGGTTACCAAAAAAGTGTGTTTAATTGCCTCGAAAATGGAAGTCTCCACCCCTGCAATAAGAGGATCAGAGCCATTAGGAAGATTAATGGGCCTGTTAATGATGTTAAGCAGATACGCCATGATTGAAATTCCATTACATATGTGCAAGCATGTGCACGCGCCAATGCAATCGTGCACACAGACCCCCCAAAACACACAAATGAGATTAGCCCAAAACACCATTAGTGATTTTTTTCTTTCACACAAAAAGTCTCTCATCCCCAGTTTACCACAGACAGAAACTGTGAATCTCCATTATTGTTCTTCTCTCAGCTAAGCGAGGGTCCCTGCTGATGTTTAGCTCCAGGACTGTGTGTTTGGAGCCTGTTGCACAAAGAATAACCCTGCAGCACAATATGTAACATTAATGAGCACTACATTGGCTTTATAGGTATAGTAAAGAACAGCTTACCAGTCGGGGGGATATTGCTGAACCTTCGGAGACTGTTGTATTATATTTTCTGCTGCGCTATAAAACCTTTTTGACGCATGAAGAAGATAACATGAAGATGTCAGAGAAGTCTTTGAGAATCTTTAGAGCTTTATCCTTACGAGAAACTACATTTCAGGGCGTCTTTACTATTATTTTTTGTACCCGTATTTTAACCTCAACCCCAATAATGATGACCTATTCTACTTGAATGATGTGAGCACCATACTGTACATTATAACATACATTTATAATGCATTAAAGGGACTTAAAACCCCTTTTTACAGACCTACTTGCTTTTGTTTTGTACCCTGGAGCACTACATTGCAGTCCAAAGGTTGGACACCAATCTATTCCAATTTAAAAAAGTGTATTTCCATTTACTATCCACACGTTTTGTTTACAGAAAAAAAGACCTGGCTAAGATGGAAAAGTTGGTGTATCGATAAAAACAATGCGCTCAACACCCATCATATTGACGTACTGTGTGTATTATTGTGTGTACTGTATGTATTTATTTTGTATTCATTTCCTGTTACCTTCTTCTCAGGTCTAAGCCATGACAACACATGGATCGGGTTAAATGATCGCACAGTGGAGGACGACTTTCAGTGGACCGACAAGATGGATCTGGTGAGGAACTGTGTGTTGTTTTTTCTCGTGCTCAGCTGATGATCCCAGTAGTGTTTAAGATCCCATTGGAGGTATATTCATTTGGAGTTGCTCGCAGTAACACAGCCGTAAATACCCTGAACAGCAGTTAACTGAAGGGAAACTAATCCATGAGTTTATGTTCCCTTTGTGTCACACAAAACATTTTCACTGTTACCTATAGCTTGAGATTTCATTAAAAAGATTTTGCAATACAGCTTTATCTACCTATGACATCACATATTCAGTATGCACAGGATGCTTTTGTTTAATTCCTTTCTAGATTTCCATCATTACATACAAAAACATCACAAGGTCATATAGTAACCATGAATTTAGGAGTGATACATAAATCATGTTCCACAAAGAGTTTATTGCCATAAAACAAGTAGACATGAGATGAGTATCTGATGTTGAGAAAAAAATAGTTTAAGTTTTAAAACTACATATAGTTGTTTAAATGTTTGTCTCCTTTTTGTGCATGTATGTGCAGCAATATGAGAACTGGCGTGAGAACCAGCCGGACAACTTCTTTGCTGGAGGAGAAGACTGCGTGGTGATGATCGCTCATGAGAACGGCAAATGGAACGACGTGCCATGCAATTACAATCTGCCCTACGTCTGCAAGAAGGGAACAGGTGAGAGCAACGGGCGGACGGAGGGAGAGGTGAGAGGAGCATGAAGTACGCTGAGACTTCAACAGCTGATTAAGATGACTGACAGAGAGGTGAGGAGGCAGAGTAGCAGCATGTAAAACTGTAACAAGGCTGCGAGGAGACATCGGATTTAAACAGTGAGACGGCGAGGAATCGGACAGAAGAGGCAGTGAGACGGAGAAAAAAGGGCAAAGGAGAAATAACCTCACTGTGCTGTCAGTTCTTTAGTCTGAAATCCTATAAGGGGAGTCGTGAGATGGATAATGAGAAAAGATGACAGGATGTTCTTAAAGCCGTTTTTATCTGAAGGGGATTACAAGTGTCGCAGCCTATTTCTGAGACGACATGTTCCATCGACGGCTTCTGAACACCCTGGCTATAAAATACTTACCATTATACACAGCGCAACAGATTAGCACCATACCTCTTCAATCAGTCCACATGCTTCAGATTCACACTCATTACTGCTCTCCAGCTCAGCGCCCCTTCTTATATCTCTCATAATCCTGCAGCACGACTTTGAAAAGTTCTCCATGTTCTTCTCATCACGGCTCCATTTCCTCCGCCAAATGTTCTGTTTCACTAAGGTGAAGCACGTCTTGAGGCGGAACGTACTTTCTGCTCAGGAAACTTTAGCTCAGCAAAACCAGGGAACAAACGTATTGGATGGTTAAGTTTCTATACGCTGCTACCTCGGCTTCATGTCCCCTGTTGGTCACCTGATGCTCCTCTGAGAGCCTATTACAGCTTCTGTTTGACACACATTTGCATATAGGTCAGACTAATGACCGATGGCAAAAATACAAACATAATATAAGCGTAAGGCAGGCAGGTTTAGAGAAATAGCAGGACGTAAAAACACAACTTTGCCTGAAGCTTTGACACAAAATGTTGCTCTAAGTTTCACTTTGATAAACGCATGTGGCATCATCAACATAATGCCATCATGATCTGGGAAAAAATGGATGACAGATGAGATTTCTGGTCGGCTAAATGGTAAATGGACTGCATTTATTTAGCGCTTTGTCAGTCTTTGCAACCCATCAAAGAACATTTACATAATACGGTCGTCATTCACATTTACACACATTCATGCGCAGGCAGTGGTTGCCATACAAGGTGCTACCTGCTCAGGTAATAATAAGCTTAATCAAATCTTTCCCGGTGAAGTCTGTAGTAATGGGTTATAATGAATAAGGGAGAGATGGATGTAACAAAGGCCCCTAACCAGACTCAAATTATAGTCATTCAGGCTTATCGTCAGCGTTGAATCTATACTCACTTGTAGAAATGAACAAAATTGCTTCCCTCATTGTCCCTGTTCTATTATTATATTTGATGGCCCTTAACATAAAAGCCTTAAAGGCTTTACTGATGGTCATTATGTTAATTTAGGCAAATTTCTCATGCTTTAACAGATGGTTTGTCTTCAGACGATACAAGCGTAAGAGCGTACTTCTGAAGCCTCAGGCGACGAACACATCTGATCCTCTCTTCTCGTATGAAAGGGAAGGTATTTCCCTCACAAACACAGTGTTGCATCACCTCTGATGAACACTGTCACAAGTCCCCAGCATCCGGCCCACCTCTGACCCTAATCAGTCAGTTACAATCACCAGCATCTTTTCATCTCCCCCCGCCTCCCATCAGCCTCTTCTTTCACTCTAAGTAACCCCATGTAATGTCTTGTCTTATCAGTGGAGTTTGTGAGCTCCATGCTGAGTGTTCTCTGCGCTCTCTCTGCTTCTCAAAGCTCATGTGACGTGTTTGTCTGCTGCTCATCAGCCTGATGAGGCGATAACAGCACCGTGTGAGCCTATCGGACGCCTCAATCAGCCGCCCAGCATGATGTGTCATGCAGATTGTGAAGATGTTTTTGTCATATAAGTGAAAAGAGGTGAGACTGACATCTGATGAGACGATGGTCAGATCTAAGGGAAAGACAGCCAGACTCATGAAACATAGTATTTACTAGGAACAAGTCCTGTTTCTCGCTCGAGGCCAGAAAAAGGCTAGTCACTGTGACCTTTTTACCTGTGCTGGACTATGGTGATCTGATTTATATGAATGCACCTGCCAATTGCCTGGTCAAGTTAGATGCTGCGTATCACAGTGCACTGAGATTTGTGACAAACTGTAAAGCATTAACTCATCACTGTACCCTGTATGCAAGGGCTGGTCTGCCTTCACTAACTGTACGGAGGCTCAGTCACTGGTATATTTTTATATATAAAGCCATGTTAGGGAAACTTCCATCCTACATCTGCTCCCTGATCTCACGGCGAATTGTAAGTGGCTATTGCCTGAGATCGCATGCTGTGGTTTTATTAAATGTGCCAACTGCTAGGACTGTCTTAGGGAAAATAGCATTTAGATACGCAGCTCCACTGTCCTGGAATAGTCTGCAATTAAAATGGAAACTGAGCAATCTGGTGCCACTAAATGTTTTTAAAGCTCGGTTGGATGCTACTGAATCGGAAGCTGTTGGTACCTGTGCATGTGGATAGTATGTAATTTGTAATCCCTATAATGCTACTGTATGATGTCCCTTTGTTGTTCTGTTTATGTTTTTAATGTTTCATGTGGAACCTACTTGAGCAGGTCTCCCTTGAAAAAGAGGTCAATGATCTCAATGGGATACAACCTGAATAAATAAAGGTTTGAAATGAAATGAAAAATGTACACAACTCGCTCTCACAAGCCTCAAATATTACTCACACATTGTAGCAAACCTTGTCAAACCTGCTTCTGATTTCTTCAGATGTCTTTATCTTGAGCTATCTAGCCAGCTAATGATGTAGAAAATGTAAACTGACTTTGTCTCCTTTTGTACAAAAACAATCCAGATCAATAAGACATAACCTGAGGTCTATAGGCCCTCTGAATACAGAAACCTCACAACATGTATACATGAAAACTTTATGCATTGAAGTGACTTTTAACCTTTTATATTGATGAGCGATACATTTTGTAGTTTTGAATACAGTGTTTTACTATGAAAATCAGCAGTGTTTCATTGCTGAATCCACATTGTATAAAGAATTATAAAGAGGAACAAAAGATTTAAGGAAGAAAAGAGGCACACAGCAAGTTCTACACTTACATTTGGATTCAAGTAACGAGAGTCACGTAGACTTCTGCCTCTGAGCTCTTTGAGGGAGGAGGAGAAGGAATTTGCCCAGAAGAGGACATGTAAGTATTACAAAATAGTTCCATTATTTTTGATGGGTCATTATATACAGAGACAGGAAATCAAATTTTGCATGACAGACTCTGCGCTCAGTGCTCTGGGAGATGATCGGCTGTCGTCTCTGCCTTTAGCAGTTGATGTGTCCGTTGGTGTGTAATGTAATCATTGTTGGATAGACATTGTGTTGTGTAAAACTGTCATTGCTCAAATGTATTTTGAAAGTAAGGGGGAAAACCAATTTTTATTTATATAGGAATTACTCAACCAGCTACTGTGAATGCTTCCAGTTGTGTGTGTGTGTGTGTGTGTGTGTGTGTGTGTGTGTGTGTGTGTGTGTGTGTGTGTGTGTGTGTGTGTGTGTGTGTGTGTGTGTGTGTGTGTGTGTGTGTGTGTGTGTGTGTGTGTGTGTGTGTGTGTGTGTGTGTGTGTGTGTGTGTGTGTGTGTGTGTGTGTGTGTGTGTGTGTGTGTGTGTGTGTGTGTGTGTGTGTGTGTGTGTGTGTGTGTGTGTGTGTGTGTGTGTGTGTGTGTGTGTGTGTGTGTGTGTGTGTGTGTGTGTGTGCATAGAGCTGTACCAGTCTTAGCTAGTGCAGCAGCCTTTAAAGCAATTGACATTGTAGTTCAGAAGGGATTTGGGGGGAAACAGGTTCCCCTGTGTGTGAGGACGCCACAGGTGAGGGAGAGTATGTGTGTGTACTGTACAAACACTCCTATAGAGTGGTGCAGTGATGATGTATTTTTGTAGGCGAACCGAGAAGTAAGCATTGCAAGGGTTCCCTAGACAAGAAGTCAATTGGATTTTTCCATTCTAACTTTATATAGGGCAGAAAATAAGATCTTTGGCAAGCACACGTTTATGATTTGTACATGTTTTGTTCAGCAGTATATTCTCCACATATAAACACCACTTGTATGTTTTTTGAAGCATAAATGCAATTGGCAGTGGCAAATAAACGTGACTTAGAGACAAGGAAACCAAACGTTGGACATTTCCAGGTTGTAAGACTCATTCCTGCACCTCTATTAAACCTAATATACACGTATAATTCCAATGTAATATAAAAGCCCTTGTGTTGATTTATGTTCAGTGCTGAAGATGAATCTCTCCAGTCTCAGACAGGAAGGAGGAGATAAAGATCCTCTTGAACAAACCCACCTGAGCAGTCTTCCCCTCAGGGATCCTTTTCATCGCTGCTACAGATCGTTACATCCTCCACAGGGAGATGCAGGCCACGACCCCCCCCCCCCCCCCCCCCCCCCCCCTCCTCCCCCCGACCTCAACAGAGCTGCTATCACTGCTCACTGGCTCACAGCAATCTCTGACCAAACACTATCTGTGGAGATTTAGAGAACTGAAACTAATTTGCATACTTTTATAATGTCCATAGTATCTTCTGCTTTTCTTTTTTAGTGATAGGTTCTACAATTGTAGAGTATTGTAACTTCTTCTGTATATTTTATATTGTGCATTCTTCAGATAGGACGTATATAACGCATAATGCTGCTGTGACAAAACAACTCACCTATTTGGGAACAATAAAGTATTTATAATCTAATAATTCAGTACATAGGAAGATATGTAAATAAATACTTTAACAGAAAATGGTCACTCCTAGATACATTATTAACACAAATTTACCTTGAATTATTGAAGAAAACATTTTTTTAAATATTGAAAAATCTTGTTAATTTGAGGTAAGTTGGGGCTTTGGAGCCTATTAGTTTGCTCTGTTATTTCAATAAAGTTTATAGGAATCGTGCTTTTCTCTTTGATATATTTTTTTAATTTAATGTTGCACTTCTTACGTTTGTTTGCAGATACAAGTTAAATATCCCGTGGTAAACACACGCTGTGGCCTATCGCATATCATCACCATTTTCCGCTTTTTGATCTGGCAGGTGGTCTGGGCTGTGTGTGGCTCTTCAGCAAACATCCACACAAACATCTCCCGCAGTTTTCTTTTTTAATAAACAACACTGAATCTATCCACATCTACTGTTTCCATGTGAGCCTCGCTGCCAGAGCTGTTTCAGCGAGATGCTCACACACTTTCAAGTCTCTCGGATTCAGTGTAGCAGAATCCTAAGTAGGTGTCCGGATGCTTTGAGGCCATGGCGGAGTGCTGAGAGGAACCAGCCTCTAACTCCCAGTGACACACCCACGGAGACACAGGCAGACAGAAAACACACACCTTATGTAACCTGCATGCAGGAGTTTCAGCTTGTACACCACCTTAAATGAACTGCATGAAAAGATACCCACCTTTGCCATCTGTAAGTAATACATTCAGCAACGTACAGTGCATTTCTTCTAGATTTTCATTATGAATACATACATTAAGAAACTCTAAAATCTCATCTCCTATTTCCTCTGCACGAGTAAGTCACCTCTCCTCTTCAGCGTCCTCTTTTCTCTTCTCTAAAGAGTGAAAGACCACCATGATCTTATGGGTATAAGATAAGATAGTACTTTATTGATCCCAATTTAGGACATTTTTGTGTTGCAGTAGCATAAAAAGACATGGCATTGCACATACAAATTTAAAGACAAGAAATAAACAAAAAAGTAGAAAATATACATGTTGAATGTATCTAAAAAATGTGACTGAAAACTGTATAAAAACCCAACTTATGACAGCTTCTGACATCCATGTATGCAAATACTGCTGTATTCACTAAAGGTGACACAACTCCATTGCAGTGGAGCTAATGAAACGGACCGCTCCATTTGCTTTCCCTGAGTTTAGTGACATTTTCTTATATCCCCACTTCAATACCTTCTGACTTTGCCTGCCCCCGCTGCGAGAAAATCATTCAACAGTGTATAGGTGAGGGCTAATGGAAAACTACCTTTGAGCCTTTCATTTGTGTGGAGTGTGTGATCGTCTCAAGTGAGAAGGAAAGTGCTTTTCGCCCCCTTTTCTTCCACAATGCATTCAACTGTAAATGTGGCATTACAACTTTCATCAGATTTAATGACATTGTTTCTCCTATTAAGAACTTAAGAGGTATTAGGACAAGGACAAGGGAATTAAGAGGGTTTGTAAACATTTTCTGATTGCTGATTAAGTCCTCTTATCACCGCTTGTAGCACTGAAGTGTGTAAATCACATTCAATGCTCTGGTGTCGGCAAATTAGAGAAGTTTTTCCCTCAAACTCATTTCCACTACCTTTATTCCTTCTGACTGTTAGCCAGATATCATCTCTGATAGAAGCTCAACCTGGAAACGTACAATAACGTAAGATTTTATTATTTTTAATACTACAGAGTATCATGCTCTGTCGTGATATTTTAATGGACTACACACCAGTGAAAAAACAATCCACTTCGTCGTTTTTACACTTTAAGATCCATAATTGTACTGTATGCTATGCTGTGTAAACTGTACGTTGTGCTCTTTGTGTACTAATTAGAATTTTAAGGTAATTTTAATGGACAATAAAGTAATCTATATCTACATTTGTATTGGAAAGTAATCTATATCTACATTTGTATTGGACGCCATGGGGCCCAACTATTTAAATAGAGATGATACACATGTAGTAGATAGTAAGGAGTGATAATCAATGTGAACACTTGTGATATTTTGTGTATAAAATGTAGAGTATGTCAAACAAAAAGCTACCAAGGCCGACAGCTGCAAAGGTGATCCCAAAACACTTCCATTACGAGAAACACGCTGCAGTTTCAAAAACAATGCAGATATAAAAACACAAATGTGCCAAAGCACAACAGTCCCAGCTGTGTGCATCACTTTTTAGTGTCCCTGTTTGTGTTTTGGGATTGTTGAAGCGTTTTGTATTTGCAGGATTTCGTTAACGTTGCGCATATTTCGTCAAATTGTAATCCGTTTGCATCTGTCGGCCATCGTAGAAACCTGGACTTGTTGCTGCTAATTTCTTTGTTGCTAAATGTTTATTTTACCAAAACAAATGTGAGAAAGGGACTAACGAATGACAGGCATGTGAACTCTAACCCATGGTGTAATGAATTAACAGCTCTGCAGGAGCTCATACAGTTGATTGGTGCCCAGTTTTACCAGGTGATACCCAGGCTAATACAAACTCTCTAATTACACAAAGATTGAATACTTCCAGGGGGAAATATGTGTGAAAGCTTTTTTCACAGCAGATGTTCAGCAACCCCACAGGTGTAACTAATAACTTGTTTAATGTTGTATTTCACTGCAATAGGTAGAACAGGGCCAGCCATTGTTAACATGATTAGAGCTCCCTGCTATGATAAGTCAAAAATATCTGCTGGAGTAAAAACATTTCATGATTTATAATAATATTTGGAACAATATCAAAGTGCTCTGTTGCTTTTGCAAGGCGTTGGTGATTCAGGTTGGCATAATGTATTCAGAAAGAAAAGTAAAGTACAAGATAAGTTAGGATTTTTGACAAGAAGGAAAATAAACCTGGGGATGCTCATCAAACAAACACATCAGTCAAATCCAAAATATAAACACGCTCGTTTTTTTCTCGAGCTCCTTGTAGATATGGCAGAAGACTCCGGTGTATTTGTGCTAAAACTATAGCACTTGGGGGGGGAAAGTACATCAAAAGAAACTTGCAGTGTTAAATGTTTTTTCTACTCAACTTGCCTCCTACAAGTTTTCCCCATGACGGGGTGTTAGCTGTTGATAAAGATGACAGAAACACATTCACCTGCTGCCTCCCCCGCAGGCTCCCTCCGACTTACAATATCTGTGAAGTTGTCTGAGTGAATCCCCGAGGCTTGTCCACCCTGTCAGTCTCTCACCGGCCGTCAGTCTTCTCTCCTCTCAGCTTGTGAAACATTTCTCTGATTCTGCTCTTCATGTGTCCGACAGTGACTCTGACAGCGGCCCACTCACTCACAGATGTAGACAGACACGCTGTCCTGCAGACACTAAATCCCCTCTGTGATGTTTGTGTGAGGGGTTTACCAAGAGATGGGCACGCCCTAAAAGAAGGAGGAAGATTACACACTGATTGCAGAAAATGCATTTAACTGTTTTGATCACTGGTCGAAAATATTGACTTCCAAAAGCAATAAGCCTATACAATACCTCACTTCTGGCGAGCAGAAAACTCCCAGCTCCATAGTTTCTTTAATTTATTTTAACCAAAGGTTACTCTTGTTTTCCTCCCTTCCATAACCCCTGAAAATGTGTACATATTGTGCTTCAACATGACCTCTTTGTGTTCAATTTGGTGTACTTTGCACACTTTATAACATACATATTCTGTTTATAGTTGATTTGGTAATAGGCTAGTCTGTTACAGGGATTTCTCAATTATTCTGTATATTTTTATATTGTGTATTTGTATAATGTAAACCCAGAAGATACTCTATAGATATACAACTTTCTATTGATAACATACTTTTATTTTTGGGATTAATAAAGCGTATTTAATCTAATCTGATCTCTGAGCTGAATCCAGGAGAAAATCATTATAATTAGATTCCATTTGATTACACAAGATGTCGTAAAGATAAACACAAGTGGACAATCTGATTAACATTCTATGACGTTTCCTTCCTCTCCCCTTGCAGTGCTTTGTGGCCTCCCGCCCAGTGTGGATAATGCCTTCCTGATTGGTCGGAAACGCTCCCACTATGACATCCACTCAGTAGCGCGTTACCAGTGTGCCGACGGCTTCCTGCAGCGCCACGTGCCCACAGCCAAGTGCCGCGCCAACGGGAAGTGGGACCGGCCCAAAATCATCTGCACAAAATGTACGTTTTTACACGACAGGACGGCACACAGCAACACTTAGAGCAGTATTTCCATTTGTCGGGTCCTTTTTGCATTTATATTTGTAGTTGTTAGCATAAACACCACCATAGGTAGAGTAGACGAACCTCCTACGTTCACTGCCTTCGGGAGCTGCTGTCACCTTGCTAATTCAGGCTCTTCTTCCCTCATTATGAATAATTGCAAAAAGATGAATGTGGTTGCAGACTGGATGAATTTCCCCTGGCCTTACTTAGAAGTGGTAGCGTTCTCTTTGAAGTGCTTTATGCTTAAGGTAGGTTCTTTTTTTTCAAACTTTTACACAAATTATTTGCAACCGGTGACCGTCTACTACTGAGAAAGGAAGCGTGGTAAAAATAGAAACAAATCATAAATGAGCTTTTGTGCAGGAAATGCAGGACATACTTTCTTCAGGTTTTTGTGTTCAATCATTTTTGAAGCAACCTCTTATTTTAGCTTAGTGTCTAAAAAAAAGTCTTCATTATGCAACTTTCACACACCTTAGCTCCTTTGTGCCTTAAAATAAATTCCCACAATCATTTCGACAGAATAAAGGGAATAAATGTCTTCACTTTTCTAAGTCTTTCAGAGGAGATATAAAGGGTTGAGATATATAAATATTCAACAAATGGAGCCTTGTGTTTCATTTCACTCCACTCACAATGTGACAGTAACGATGAAATACTGAAATAATGTAGCCTCTGTTGAAAGTGATACAAAATGATTTTCCTTTGGACTCTTTATCTCCGGACGGAGTTGTTTTCATGGCCCAGAGTTACTGTTATCATTCATTGCAGATGACTTGTCTTTGTTGGGGAAATCCAGAAAGGGACAGAGAAACCTAATTTGTCAGAACACCCGGGGATCGATCTTAGCTGAGGCTGTGTGGGTGGCTAGCTCAGTGCGCTCTCGCTAAAGGCGCCCAGTTTACTGAATGTGAGATAACACCGATTGTGTCAGAGTTTTGTGAGCGGCTAAACCTTCTGCAAACAACAAGCGGTTCTGACCTTCCTGTTGTTGATCCATTTCCCCTCGTCATACCTGCTTCCACCTTCCCGCGCCTGATCTGTCTGAAAGCTTGTCAGTGATGTATCTCCCTCTTACATCAGTGCTCCTCCCGTTCTGACTTCTTCACTAAATCCGCCCCTTTCTTTTATCCCTTCTGTCTTTCTCTGTTTTGCTCCACCAGCCCGGCGAGCCCACCGCTACCGCCGCCACCACCACAAGGGGAGGAGGGAGCGCAGGAAGCACAAGAAGCACGGCCACAGAGAGGGGGGGCACCACGGGGGGGAGCAGGGCCACAACCACGCCCACGTCTGAACCAAAAACCCGCTTTCCTACTTTCTCCTCTGCTGCCAACTGCGGTTTGCCTGTCGTCCTTTTCCTCCTGCCCAATTCCCCCAAACACTACTTTACATCTTACAGCTCAAAACTCAAAGCCCCCCTCCCTACACTGCACTGCCCCTTCCTCCCCCTTCAGCTCCACCCCTGGCTTTCTGAGTCAGCCTGTACCATAGTCAGCTCTAAGGCCTGCAGAGATGCTGTGAGGTGTCACCGGGACAATATCAAATCCCTTTGTACTCGTTTTACTTTCTTTTCTCTGTTCTCGTCTTACCTTTTCCGTCTCCCCACCTTTCCTCCAACTCGACCCAGTTACACTCCCCCCCCTCCCGAGCTCAACGACGACCTGAAACACGGGGCTACGCTGACCTGTTTTTGAGAAAAAAAGGAAAAAACCTTTGAGATCCACACCGAACATTCTTCGGAGAGATGGTTTTAACTATAAATAGGGACGACATCACTGAAAATGCCGTGTCAGAATCAGACGAGTCAAGGGAGACATCCGTGTTGTTGACTTTGAGCCTTTTGTCTGTTGAACACATGTTATTTTTTACAAATACTCAGTGTTTATTTCTGCTGCTTTTGGTTCCTTCTTTGTAAGACATTGTACTTGACTTAAAGCGACTTCTTCTGAAACGGATGTAATAGATTTTCTTTGAATCAGAGGCAGTTGTAATTGAATTATTTGATTGTTAGCGTTGTATCTTCTTGTCAGTGTGAGACAGTTACTTTAGATCAGATGCTTAAACCCCCAGAGGAAAATGGAAAACACATTGCGTATCAATTCAGTCTCATCAAACATCAGTCGCATTCAGAAGTGTCGATCTCACAGAGCTCTTGTTGTGTCAGACATCCATCCCCGACATGTTCGAGGGTTAATTGAAACCTTTGATGTCAGTTTGTCTCAACCCAGCTCAGCAATCCTATGTTTGCTTTTGCCTTTTCTGATAGTTTGTGTCTCACTAAGAACATGTGCTGTGACTTAATGAAGTCGATGCGGCAGGTCAAAGCTCCTCTAACTCATTGACAGAGTTTCACGTCTTTGGTCTGATAAGGAAAAAATGATGCTACCAGCCCGGCATGAGAGACACAGAGCTGGTTATATTTCAGTAGCCGCCTCATAAGTCAAGAACAAGATATGACATGCCCAAACACATGTCCTTTTAAAATAACTATTGTGTTTAGCTGTCTTAAAAAATATCCTAAAACAAAACTGATTCTGTAAATTAAGTGAGGTAATACTTCCCTGTTTTAGTGCTTTTTCTATTGTGTTTGAAATGTTTTAGAGTGTACCTGCTAAACGCTACATCATGTACACAGGCTAACTGTCTCTGTCTCTTCATGTAGCGACATTCAGTTATTTACAATGTATATTGATATATACAGCTCCCTGTTTGGCTAGAAACTACACTGATGAGAGCGGTGAATCAAAACAAGTTAGGAGCCACAAAACCAAAACAATAGGACGAAAGAGGCTAAAACGCTCCATGAAGCTAAGGGGAACTACAGTCTGTGGGATTGAGTTGCTACAAGCATTACCTTTTACATTACAATTTGTCATATGATCTATTGTTTATATAAGCGCACTAGAGCCGTGCGTGCGTGCGTGCGTGCGTGCGTGTTTATGATTGAGCGTGTTGACAGTGGCTGAGGTCCCAGAGGATGATGATAGAGAGGGTCGGCAGAGATTAAGGTTTCGACACCTGTGCTCGCTCCTCTGCGTGTCCTGCTTTTCAGAGAGGATCCAGACGGATAAAACAAGCGCCTTGCTCTCCTCCTCTTTCCCTTTTGACTGCGGGTTAAATTGGTGTTTTTTAAAGCCAGCACTTGAGGTTAAGGCTGCTGGGATTACGTCCCAAACACTGACTCCAGCACTTTTATCCTTTCAGCTTCTCCTCGTCTCACTTTACTGCTTTTCATTTATCTTCCCCACTCCACATTCTTTTCACTGTCGATGAGTTTTTACAATAGAAAAGTAGCAGAAGGACTTACATCCAGTTTTACCAGCTCTTTATTGGTGTAAGACTAACGTTGGTGTTTTTCAGCCTCGTTTCATGTATCTCATAAAGAGAACAGGATCGGGTAAGAGATTCCACCCTGTGCGCATGAATTCCCTGCCTTTGTTTGTCCCTCCTCACCTTGGCAATGACAACACTCCTCCTCACGGAGAAGAGTGAACCTACACCTCCGTATCAGGTTAATTAATCTGCTGCATGCCTAATTAACAAGTTACATTATCTGCAGAGCTGTGGTGACGGGGGAAGGGTTAGGGTGACGGACAGGAGACCCAGAGAACTGTCACAGCCGTCCAGCGTCTGTCGTCTGAGATGTCAGGCTGCAACGGACCCCTTTTTTTTTCTATCTGTCATGAAAAATGGATGGAGCACTGGTAGTTGAATGAAAGGGCACACAGAAGCCCCTCTCACTGTTATTCAAATCAGAGCAGATGTCAAGAGACAGTGTCATTACTGCTGTGTAAAGATTCAGCTGTGTGACGTTTCAAACTTTCCAAAACTTTATGGAGTGAAAAGCAGAATTGTGGCCGGAGAGCATGAGGAAATGAGATGAAAATAGAATAGAATTGGACAACTAATAAGCTAAGATAAAAACATAATCTTTGTGTATGTTTAAGTGAGCAACTGAAGTTGAATCTGCTGTTATATCTTGTCTTCTACTTCTGCAAAGATTTCGAGCTTTCTAAAAAGACACCACAGATTTATGCTTAATAAGTTGTTATGAAAGGATTTCCCTCAGATGATGCATTCTTTTTTTTGTTAAACTCTAAAAAAGTTTGACTTCTACAACAAAGGAGCCTAAATGTGTGTGTGGGCTGTGTGTGTTGTGTTGTTTGCTTTTGGCCCATCCTCTGGGACTGCTATGTTGTTTTCTCTTTCTCTTGCTTTTCTTAAAAATGCCAACCTTTTCCTCACAGCTTCTGTCCAACACTCTTTTCATTGAATTAATGCAAAAAAAACACACATTTCCACACACTCATTTCTGCTCTTCAAACTTCAAACACACTGACCCTCGCGCTCAGAAGTGTCTTTGCTTTTCCTCCTTTTCATCTCCTTGGCTCGCTCCCCTCTCCTCTCCTCTCGGTCTCTCTCGTGGAAGCCCTGAGGGCAGCAGATACACAGAGACCGGGCTTTTTAATTGTGAGTCTTAATTGTGAAGATGAGTGACTTACCGGAGGCTTCTGCCAGCTGAACCCCGGCTCTGCAGCCTGAGGGGAGCAGCAGGCCAACCATTGGACGCCTCTGCAGCCAGCAGGCCTCTTCTCAGGCTCTGCCACCTCTCCTAACTGTGAACGGGTTATTCCTCTTACTCACAGCTCAAGTATTCAGCAGAGAGGAGATAACTGTGTGACTGTTTTACCCTCTAGATAGCACCGACGGGAGCACAGCTTGTTTAAATGAGTTAGTAAATGTGTGTCTGGTTGCATCATTGTGACAGAATTTACTTTGGGTGCGCTTGTGTCTCAACAGCAGGTATTTGCAGCGTTCATTAATATTAATATAACTCACTGAAAAACACAACACAACAAATACAAAATGTCATAGTGAGAGGAAAAACCTGGAAGAGGGTTATACAACTCTGACTTAAAACCTCAGTATGAAATTAAATAATAGAGAACAACAACAAAAAACTAATTAGACCTCCTCGAAGTGAATAACAAGTACCTTCCAGGCATCTAAATGAAGAGAGAAGAAGATCACAATCACCTGAGTGATGAATGTGTTTTTTTATATCACTTGATTTTCTTTGTGATGGTGATTTGACAATGCCTGACAAAGCTCTCTGTTAGGTCACTGCAAAAAGCTCGGGGCTCTTGATGCGGTGTGTGGATACTTTGCCTGATTCACATCTTTAAATAGATGAAATGCAAGCGAGTAGAAATTGATCGATGGTTAAGTCCCCTTCATTGTTTTCAATGTAGTTCCAACTTGAGTTTCTCTCATGGGAAAATATCTGTTTGATAATAGTGGAAGATGAACCACTGAAAACGTGTGTATACTTTGAAACAATAAGCCTTACAGACAGGCGTTACTCTTAGCTCCTGTGGCTGTAATTATAACGCCACACTCTTTGTCTGCTTAGCATACAGACTTGGACAAACAAGACAAAAGATCAATTTCTTGTTTTACCATTGGCATTTTTAAACATTGTTTCAGTTTAAGAGAAATGGCTTTGTGTTTGGCAAATGTAAAACTAAGGTAGCTGGGATGCAAAATTGTAGGAAAGCGGAATAGAGAGAAAGCATCCAAAATCAATGGATATGCCAGTCGGGAACAGGGTTTTCTTCTTCTTTAATTGTTCTTCTTTGTTTTAGCGAAATCTCTAACCCTCAGTTTGAAGTAACGTCAGGTGAGGTTACAACGGTTTGTACTTAGCTAGTTAGCTGAACATGCTAACGAATGCATCTGAAGTTTGAGTGAACAAAGAGACCCCATTCCTTACATTGTGTCTTTCATTTTGAAACATTTCTGTGTGTATGTGTGCGGGCCTTTGTGCAAACAGTGTTAAATCAAACTTGAGAATCTCTGTTGCCCACGTGAACTGTAACAACTGTCAGTGACTGTACACCTGATGCATTCAAATGCTCCTCTCATCGCCAATGACAACCTGATAAGAGCGGTGAGGGCTGCTGTCCTCAGTCGCACACAGACAGACTATTGATTTCGTGATTACGCTGTCTGTCTTGGCTTTCTATTAAGACTGTCGATGGCATTGACGGCACAATAGCGGCGACTGACCGCTGGACGTTTTCTAAAAGACATCGACTGCTAATGCTGCCTTTGCTTAATTTGCATCAATATCCTCATCCCATCAGACTAAACAAAATTATGTTCAACCTGTTGACATCGCCTCTTCACTGTTCAGCATCTAAAGCACAGGTACTAGTGCTGTTTCTATGACATCGTCTCTGTCTGAAATTGAGCCGAGACGATTTATCATTGACGGGAAACCTTCTGCATTCTGCTGGGATGGATGAATGGGAAGATGTTTCAGTGAGAGAATGAGAAATGAAAGAGACAAACGCAGAGCAGAAATCAATGACCCACTCCTTCTCCTCTGTGATGTAAATACTCTGAGGTTTTCCTTTTTTAGAAAATCCATTTAGACTCTGGGTGTGTTTTTTGCATATAGCCTCTGTGGACCATATTCATACAGCCTCAGTGGATCCAAAAAGAGGCATCTCCCTCCTCTAGTTTCTCCCTTCTGCTCACACACCCTGCTGTTTTTAACCGCTGCATCAGTAAGACAAAACAAAGACATTCAACACACACTGCAGGACATCCAGAAGTGAGATGATGCTTCACGCAGCAGAGACATTTCACTTCTTTGGCTCTTTTCCCCGCACAACATTCTGTAGCTTCCTGTGTGTTCATGTCGACTGTGATCCCAGACAAATATAACAGCAACTGAGCCCGTCTACGGCTGTGTGAAGGTGGTCCACAAGTATTTATCCATATTTATTGATGTATGTTCTTTATGAATTCCAGTCCTGTCATTGTATTATATTCTTTACAAGACAAATGATCATTAAAGAAACCCTTGTTTGGATCTGTAACCCTTTGTTGGAGTGATTATTTCTGTTCATGTAAAGCCAGTATGTGTAGAAGTGTGTGTGTCATTAAGTCTTCCTTTAAAGGGGACCTATCATGCAAAATGCACTTTTGTACGTCTTTTATACATGAATATGTGTCCCCGGTGTTCCAGGGAACTCACCAAGTGTCAGAAAACACAACCCTCTCTATTTTCCTCCATACCCAAATCTCTAAAAAAAGGGGCTGCAACGGATCTGATAAAAACTGATCCAGATTTGAACACTGTCCTGACGTCAGGACGGTGGCGCTACGGCTTTTGGGCCAACTCCACCAATCAGGAGGAGACAGCCACGGCCATTGCCGTTCGAAAGCGCTGGAGACGCTGTAGTACATATGCCAGGCCTGTAGATGGTGCTGTTCTCACAGAATCTGCCCAGAGCTAAAAAATGTCAAATTGAGCAAAATGAGGCATGGCTAAAATGCATGATCTGTTTGGTATTTTGAAAAAAAAAAAAGTATAAATATGCCTTATATAGGTATGGTCCTACACTATATTATTCAAATATAGCATGATAGGTCCACTTTAAATTACAATCGGTTTTTTTAGGTAGAAAAGTTAGATAATGCTAAGGTACCAGTGTGCAATGAACGATGAGTGTAGTGACTTTATTTGTAAGAAAAAACCTTGAAAGTTTTCTAACTTATACAACAAATCGATCCAAGTTTCAAACCTGGAGCCACTTGAAGGCCAACCATTTGAAATGATTAGGTGTTGGAAAGGAAACACCAAGGGCAGTAATCCTCAGTCCACACATATATCTGAGTTGTTTGTTAAAAGTTTGTTTAAAAGTGTCCTCTCCTCTTTCTATCATCCGATCCTCCGCCTTACAGTTTCGCTCTAAGCTTCTGAATCTGCAGCCAGAAAACAATCTGACCTTCAAGTGTTCAGGTCCAGGAGATGCATTTCCAAAGCTCTTTGGATTAGGGGAAACATTTTTTTACAGCCAAGATATCAATAACATGAATAATATGTAGCTCACATTTCCTGGTTTGTTTTATATATTTAAAATGTGCTGCATAGAGTTTCAGCTACAGGGTAGGTCGCCTGGGGCAAATCCCTCTGTGGCACTGGTAGGAGGCAGATAGGAAAGAGGAGAGAGTAAGTGAGAGGGATCAAAGGTAAGAGGAAAGAAGGGAAGAGGGCACAAGAGGGGAGGAAAGAGATTCTGTTTTGGCAGCAAACAGGTTTGTGAATACGCCTACTGTTGTACTGTCTAACCTCGGAGACCTTCACTTCTCATGAACTTCCTCTGATGAGCTGAATATGAGAGTCTCTTATCAATGGATGGTTTCATTGCCTCACAGCTCTGTCTGCTGTAAAACACAACCTCCTCTCTCTCTCTCTCTCTCTAACACACACACACACTCTCCTTGCCTCTCTTTCTCGTTCCTCTCGTCTCCTTTGAAATGTGACTCACTCATTTCATTATTATTCCGAAACACCGGAAGAAGCCACAGTGCCGGGTTCTGTTTTCCATCTGCAATCAATCACCCTGAATATAGCATCTCTTTTACATCCTCTCCTTCTTCTGTTCTCGCGGGCTGAGTGATGTTTTTCGCTCAGCTCGGTGATTCTCAAGGACGCTGCTCATTAAGGCTGCTGGAGCTTCTCTTAAATTCCCATCTGAGGATGACCTTCAGCTCTCCTCTGTTGCCGTGCAGAAGTTACGGATTTTTTACTTGCAGCAGCACTCCAAAACAACATTTCATTACGGCCTGCGCTCTTAAATGTTTGGCTCCGAGGACCAGCATGCCCTCTGAGTGGAGTAGAGAGTCCATGAAGCTTACGTAAGCATCCTTCTTCCAAAACTTTCTCATGAAACGGCTTATAAACTACTTTAAATACTATTAATACTCCAGATCTGTCCTGATTCTTGTATAACTTTGAGATTAGCAGATAAATTAGACGCATGAAAAGAGTGCTCATCATAACCTTGTTCTCGGGTCGATATCAGGCTCATCTGGCAAGCATGGCCAATCGATGGGGATCTCTGGTATTATCCTGCATTATCTCCTAATGACACTGCCAAAGTTCAAGAAGATTATGAAAAAGCAACAAGGGGTTTAGCATCTTCTTACGCCTGACAGTCTCTTACTTAACCCCAAAGCCGTTCTGCCTCTTTTCCATCCAGAATGACTTCCTGTCTTTATCTCGCACATAAACATAAGAGGCTGCAGGCAAAATAGCACTTGTTTTTTATTCTGTCTGCACACATGCACACCAAGCCGCTTATCCAAATCAAAAACAGATTAATGTGCATCTTAACCCTGTTTATCTTCCTCATCTTTATGGCAGCCAGGTTGTTGAATAGCTCCAGCCATGAATCTGCATTTATGCCCGTCCTAATGACGGCTGCAGATGGCGCCGCCTCGGCCCACTAACAGCTTCTTTTACCGTCATCATTGTGTGTGTGTGTGTGTGTGTGTGTGTGTGTGTGTGTGTGTGTGTGTGTGTGTGGTGTGTGTGTGTGTGTGTGTGTGTGTGTGTGTGTGTGTGTGTGTGTGTGTGTGTGTGTGTGTGTGTGTGTGTGTGTGTGTGTGTGTGTGTGTGTGTGTGTGTGTGTGTGTGTGTGTGTGTGTGAGCGTGAGCGCATGAGTCAGGCTGGAGGAGCAAAGCCAGCACAAACATCACTCTGAGCCAGGTCCTTCATACAGCGTCGCCCTCACGTTCTGCTCTGCCAGCTGTGGGCACACTGCAGGGTTTTGTTACATGACCCCAATGACAATATGGAGATCATGTCTTTAATCATCTGCTCTGAGCACATCCCTCAGCGGTGGGCTGGGTGACAGGGGAGAAGGAATTGCTTAACAAATGTATATTATTTTCGTTTTTGCTTTTGTGAAATATTGGAAAATGCTATAATTCAGTCTTCTTATTTATATGGGGTTACCAAATCATTTGGTAACTACTGTATCTTTATCATCAAAGTTGCCAGCAAATGTATATTATAGATACTTTATTGGTGTAAAACCTCAGTATCTGTGACATGTGTTGAAGATGTAGAATAAAGTGGCTGTCCTGTTTCATTTTACTTCTTGTATCACATATTGCCTTAAAGGGGCTCAATAATGCTCATTTTCAGGTTCATATTTGTATTCAGTGCCTCTGCTGCGACATGTCTCCATGCTTTAATGTTCAAAAGGCTCTTTATTTTTCTCATACTGCCTGTGCTGCAGCACATATTTTCACCCTCTGTCTGAAACCAGAGCCCAGTCTGCTCTGATTGGTTAGCTGGCGGGATCTGTTGTGATTAGTCAACTGCGTAGAGATGTCCCACCCCTTAGTCTATCGCGTAACAGACCATTTAGATGCACACTCTATAAAACACACTACAGGTAAGGGGGCCTCTTTAAATCAGGAGGATGTGTGATATAGTGGCTAAACTGGCACCTTTTTCCTCACAGAAATATCTCAACAGTTTTTAAGGTCAGAAGTTTGCCTCTTTACTGCAGCTTCCTCAGGGACGTCACTCCAAGTTCCTTATTAAATTAAAAGTGCACACAGCAGGCCATAAGGTGAGTGGGAGGTGTTGTGGGAGGGGGTTTTGTGACCGAGGTGAGATGAGCTTCAGCCGTTTGTGTACTTCAGGACACTCAGTTCCTTTCTGTCTCCTTCAGACCACAATAGCTCACTGACCAGTCAATTTCCATATGCCGGTGCAGGCCCAGATACCCTTGAGCCAGCACTCTTCATTCCAGATGTTTTTTCTGCCTTTCTCCTCTTATCTTTCTGCCTTCCTTTTATTCCCTCAAACCCCTTTCTCCCACCTATCTCTCTTCCACACTTCTTATTCTCTGTGTGGCTCCCCCTGCCTGCCTTTCAATCTGTCCTTCGCAGTGACTTTGCGTTTCTGCTGAGGCTGTTTCCTTTCCTTCATCTCTTCCTGACACACACACACACACAGCTTCATTCTCAGACAAAATGATTTGAACTCTTTCATTAACCTCCCACTATTCTCTTTTCGACCAAAATCCGTGATTGTTGTAAGAGCCCTGTGAGTAAACCATAGTGACAGCTCGCTACCAGAGAGGCGAGCTGATGGAAACACGCAGACCGGCCTGTGGTGAAAACTAAAGAGCACTTTCCTTTAGAGGCATGTATACAACACAGGGCAGACTCTCTCATTCATTAGCCGCAGTGCACTCCATTAGATGGTTAACACTTTCAATTATCTCAACCCTGCTTCCTGTTTAATACGGCCCGCACTCTGGGGGAAACCTCTCACAATTTGGCCAATTACCCGTCTCCACAAACTCAATGCTTTCAATGTATACTATGTATCAGCAGCAGCAGCATGCTCCGGCTAGATTACACACAGAATGCATAAGGCATTAAGGGAGATCATTTACTGAGATGGGGTAATTTCAGAGGCTATTTCCCATGGGCTAATGCAGTATGGATATGGCTTCTGTTTGTGTTGAGGTCTGATGTGGAAGTAAAAGTTAATTCCTGTGGGGATAATCTCACAGAGTTACATTCTCCTCATGTTAGGCTGCAATTCCCACTGTCAACAAATTAATCATGTGTAAAGACGTTTGTGGAGACGAATGCGGGAAACGAAATTAGGTCATTCTTTATGAAAACATAAATAGGCTATAAATCAATAAATTATTTGCAATGATGTAACAAGTCTCTAGTTTTGTTTACATTATTATAGTCCTAATTCTGCCAGGCTATTTAAAAACTGCCTTTGGTTAATGTATTTTGAAATAACAAGACCACAGCTGGAAAATTAGATTTCCGGATCTAGCTTTGCTTATAGAAACATTTTCAGGCACAAAACCAACCATCTGTAATTTATTTTCACGGCTTAGAAAAGGTAAGCCACAGTAAGTGAGTTGGGTTTGGAGTAATTGCTTTTGAAGCATTCAGCATTTTAGATGCACAAACAAAGAGCTAGTTTTTGATCGTTTTCTTATTAACTAAGTGTTGGGTAATTGCGATGAGTCTATATATTTTATT